AATGTTTAAAAATATTTCAGTAAATTTTGTAAATTTTTTATATCCAATTTTTTTGTTTCCCAGTTTATTTTTCCAACTAATATTTTCTCATTGTAATACACAAATTTTGTTTATTTTAATTAAATATACTAGTACTTTTTTTTATTTTAATTAAACATACTAATAATTGTGCTTATTATAGTTAAACATATTGATAATTTTATTTCAATTAAATGTACTAAATAAATTTCAAACGAAAAGTAATGTACAGGAAAATAAAATAGGAAAATTACTAAAACTAGCACATTCATTATACACTATTTAATTTTTACATTAATCATCTTTATCCTTAAAATTTTGATAGTCAAAATACCATAATACCCTTAATTAATTTTGTAAAAAATATATGTTGTAGAATTTAGGGTTAAGGGTTAAGAATTTAGGATTTAGGATTTAGGATTAAGAATTTAGGGTTTAGAATTTAGGGTTTAGAATTTAGGGTTTAAGATTTCGAATTTAGGGTTTATAATTTTAGGGTTTAGGGTTTATAATTTTAGGGTTAGGGGTTTAGGGTTTAGAATTTAGGGTTTAGGATATAGAATTTAAGGTTTAGGGTTTAGAATATAGGGTTTAGGGTTTAGAATTTAGGGTTTAGGGTTTAGAATTGATATTTTAGGGTTGAGGGTTTGAATTTCGAAATAGTATTATTCGAAAAAAATAATAAAAAATATTTTTTGTTTTTTGTGTTTTTTATTTATTTAAATATTTATTTTATATATATAAAAAACAAGGGTATAAGAATTTTTTTATTATTTAATGAAAATTATATTTTTTTTAAATGTTCTCCTTCTTAAGATAAATGTGAGTTAGTGTACCCAAAAATATGTATTTATGCAATTCTCCCAATAAAATATCTATATATATAAAGAAGATTTTGCCTCCTTACTGTTCTGCCACGTCATCAATTAGGTGACTGTAAACATGACACGTGTACACATTACTTAAACGCTGCACTTTATACATTTTCTCTTCTTGCGGGCTTCGTCCGAATTTTTGGCCCAATATTAGCATAACTGGTCCGTGTAGAATGAAAAGTGCTCTCCCGTGAACCTTCCTTCACGAAATTAGGGTTCTTCAGGCTGTCAGCTCCAATCATCCTCTTCAATTATGTGTTCCAAATAAATCTAGGGTTCTTAGTGTTCTTCGACCTTCCTTTCCTCCTCGCTAATGGATTTTCTTGAGAGTCATTTGAGAGGAATCTTCATTATAATTCAAGGATCGAACGTCAAAGGCGGCGGAGAGCTTATGGGTGTGGACATGCTCCTCTTCACACCAAGGTAATAACGGTGAAAACTTATGAACATCAGATGCTTAAAAACAAAAGGTTATGTTAAAATATAGAAACAACCTGATTCAGCAATAACACATTTGGAAGCTGTTTTCATTTGAAAGCTATCTTCTCTCTCTGTCTTTTATCTCCTTTATGTTACCATGTTTTGATATTTGTTTGATCCAGTGTTACTTAGTGTTATTTCTAATTCTTCATCCCACTTTCAGTAACCTTAAGGCAAGATGAAGCAGATAAACAATTTGGTTCACCAATCTGAGGAAGAAGAATTGGCACAACAATCCATCTTTGTCCACTATGTTGAAGAACAAACGCAAAAGGTATACTATATTAGTGTATATTTACATAACACTTCTCTTGGTCTTAATTCTGAAACAACTTTGTGTGGATGAAAGCAATGCAGGTGACAAGAGCAGAAGAGTTCGTTTCACGTAGAAAGAACAAATATATAGAGTTAATTTGCGAGATACGTTGGATGGGATTTGAAGCTTGTTTAGGGGGCTTATACATGAGAGGTGACAGTATTAGAAAGCAACTTTTGTGAAATTACAACATGGTAAGTAGTTTGGTTATGTGATACCATATATTTATTATTATTAGTACACTAACCAATGATGAAAAAGAAGATACATGCTTTTGTTTGATGTTTTTTTAAAAAAATGGATAGTTTTTTTGTTAGTAGTACACCTTCGATTAGGGAAATGATTATTATTTGGTTTGTTGATTTCATTTCACTATGTTCATGTATTGATTATCAAATTTATTGTTTCTAAAAATTTGTCGTTTATGGCAGTTGTGTTTTCTGAGTTTGCAGCTTAGAGCATCACACTGTCTCAGAAGGACTTCAATTCGCTGAAAGAGAGAGCTCAGATATTCCATAAGTTAGCAGGAAAGAGATTAGAAGAGAGTTGAGGAAACATGAGAGTTTAGGAAACAGCCAACATGTCTATTGAATCATCACGGCAGAAGCACCCTACAAAACATAAACATATCCACAACAAATTGGAGAAGACGAAAACTTATGTGGTATGAAATAAAGTGTTTTCACTGAATCTAAGTGGAATCTTCTTTTCTTTTGAACATTAAAAATTTGTATCTAAATGGAATCTGTAATAGAGAAGAATGGAGTGGAATGGGGGTTCTCCTTATGTTCCCTGAAGAGAAACTCTTTTGGTGTATGACTTCTTTTCAAGTTTCGACAGCTCAAAAAGGTGTGTGCTAAAGAAGGTTTTGTGGTTTGAGATTAAAGAAGCTATGTTCTATAATGTGAAAAACTGGTTTGTTGCTGGAAAATGGATCAACCTTATTTTGGTTGTTTAATTTTTGTCCCCTTTTGATTGTGGTCCATGATGACATTATTGGTTTGAAAATAGTAGACGCTAGAAATCAATAGAAGTATAGCTTTTGTGTTTTTTATGCATTAATAAACATTATGCATGTATGCAATAATGTCCTCTTCACACAAGAATCGATGCAATAGCAAACTCAAAGCAATTCTTCTACTCTCAGAATTTTTTGTAAAACACGTTTCTAGAAAATCCCGTGCATCGGACGGCACAAACTCTGGAATCTCAGGCGCTTCTCCACTCAACAAAACAGACGCAAGATCACCAAACTCAAACTCAGACCATGGCTCACCCGCATACATCTCCAAAACTACGCACATATACACAATGAAAAAACGAACCAGAAAAAAAGAACATATACAAAATAAAAAAACAAACCAGAAAAAAAGAAAGAACCAAAACATTAAAAAAAGGTTTGGATGTAAAAACACGAAAGATACGAGTGGATGGCTAATGTCTGCATAGTTTTCAATGTATCTCATAGACTAATATAACACACGAAAGGCACGAATGGATGGATGACTAATGTCTGCATTGTTTTTCTCCCTTTTTCTTATTAAATAATTATTTGGTCCTCATCCCATAATATTTTCCATTATATTTTTGCATTCGTTTGTTTCAAGATTATTCTTTTCTACATTTCATGTAATTTTGTGGCAGATATTTTAAATTTCAAGAGGTGTTTTAAATACCAAAATAGCTCAATGTGTGTGTTTTTTTTCCTTCTAGCATGTTCTTTTTATTACTACATTATATAATTTCATAATCTATAACCATTTTAAGCTTTTTAGAATATTAAAATATGAATTTTATCTTTTGTTTTTCTCTCTTAAAAAAAACCATCACAATTGAAAAGAGTTATTAGTTATCTGACCATTTTAATTTTTTGAAATATTTTTCTTGCTTTTGATTGAACCAATTGATTTATGTGTGTTTATAATGTTATAAAAAATGAAAACACCGTAAAAGCTCACAATCTATCTTATTAAAGTTGTAGTACTCTTTAGGTTTGTTTGGAAACTTAAATAGTAGTAATAAAGAGTTTAATGTTGTTTGGCTATAAGTTTAAAGGAGTTGGGCTTTTAAACATTGTTATAAGAGAATTGGGCTTTTGTTTAATTTATTTTATGTTAGGGTTGGCTTTAATCATTTGGCTCATTATAGTAATTTGTGTTTTTAGTTTATATTTTATATAAAGACCATATTCAATTTTATTTATTGTTGACTAAATTAAAAATAACATCAGTTTTTAAGATAATAACAATTTACATTTCAAATAATTTAATACTCAAATATATTTTATCTAAAATATTTTACATTATTCAAATTATCATAAAGACACAAAATATTTGAATAATTTTAACTAAAATATTAAAATTTTGTTTTTGTAACTGGATATTTATCCGAAACACCTACCCCCCCCCCAAATCAGTTTTACCCCGATTAATCTAAAATTAATCCTAGAAATCGTAACCAAACCGTTATCATATTGGAACCAAAAATTTATCTGATATTAGTCGATTATTATAATTATTACCAAACTCAGCTCAAACCAAAAGAATCGAACCGGACGCAAATCAATTTATATAGATAACAGAACAGATCTTATATCTGTAGAATTTAAAAAACTACGAACATAAAGAATCCAACAAAAGTTGAACCCAAAATCAAACCCTAATCCTATTACATTCAATACGATCATAGTTTTTGAAATACGGTAATAACCGATGACTTATGAATATATTATGTTTTTCCAAATTAAGTTAAACCCGCGCCAGTGCGCGGGTCAAGATCTAGTTCAGGATTAAAACAACCAACATACTTAGCATCTGATCGTTTTTAATTATATAATTGAAATTTAGTATAGATAACATAATCATACTTACGCCTAATTTAATATAAAAAAAAATTTACACAAAATTATATATTTAAAAAAAACGTATCCATTAAATCCCGCCCGTAGGACGGGTCGACCCTAGTTGTATTATAAGATATCATAATCATGAAAAGCACTAACAATTTTTAATACTTTTTTTTAAAGAAAACTAAAAAGACAAGTGAGCAGATAAGAGCTAAACAGATAACAAATCAGGCCACAACACATATCAGACAGTGACTGTACTTAGCAAAAATGTTTGCCATCGACTGCAAGCGACGACTAATTGAACCTTTTTTAAAATGGAATATTTTTATAAGAGAAAAGAGACGCCTTTACAGCCAAGACGAGACGACGACCTTTGCAAAAAAAAAAAAAAAAAAAAAAAAAAGCTTATCCGTCAATAACCTTTTCGTAATCTTGTTGAAATCAAGAGTCTCTGAGAAACAGTAAAAAAAAAAAAAATGAGGCATAATTGCTGCCATGTATCGTTCGCTTCAACACTGAAGATCCTCAATTTTGTTCAGGCTTTCTTCGGTGTTTCCATCATCATCTACTCCATATGGATCCTCGATCAATACCACCGTCACGTTCCCGTCGACCCTCCGACCTCCAGCTCCGGTCTCGATATTCCTAGGGTTTCTGAGTCTCCCTTTAAGAGTCATGCTGGCCTCATGGCGAGCGTCGTTCTTCTAGGGTCTAGTGATGGTGATCATGGGTTTAACCTCCGTTCCTTGGACCTTCCTGCTCCATGGTACTCTTTCCTTGTTTCAGCGTAGTTTTTGGGGTGTTTGATTAGATTGTTTCAGCTCAAGCTTGTGTCTATAGCTCTTCTCCATTACTAAGTATCTAGCTCTTGAGAATATAAACTTAAGCTAAGAGTGATTATGTTTATGTTCCTCTTCTTTCTTGCAGGTTTGCTTACTTGTGTTGTTTGTCGTTACGTTTTAATGCAGGTTCATCTACTCTTTTATGGCGGTTGGTGTTTTAGTCTGCATTGTTACCATCATTGGTTTCATTGCAGCTGAAGCTATCAATGGATGTTGCTTGTGTTTCGTATCCCTTACTTATACTTCACTTTTTTTCTATCTCTCTGTTAATATATGGTTAGAGTTTATTCAAATGGGTTTATTTTGTTATTGACCCTTGACGGCTTTCAAAGTACTCTATTCTCAAAACTCTGCTCATTCTACTTGAAGCTGCCCTTGTTGCATTCATCGCTATTGATCGTCACTGGGAAAAGGTAACACATCTTTTCTATAGTTTTGAATATTGTTTCTTGTCTTCTTTTGTTCTAACTGTTTGATATATGTATGTGTTGTGTAGGATCTTCCGTATGATCCAACTGGAGAGCTTAATAGTCTTCGAGCTTTCATTGAGGAAAACATCGATATATGCAAATGGGTCGGGGTTGCTGTGGTAGTGGTCCAGGTAAAACTCAAAAATCACTCTTATTTAACTTTCTATTAAGCATTTCATACATGGTACACAAACACAAAACATGAATCCTTTCTAATTGTGAACACTCCACTCCTGCTCTTTCAGCTACTGTCACTGCTACTAGCCATGGTTCTCAGAGCTATGGTTTCACCTAAGAGTTCCGAGCTTGACGATGAGGAAGATTATGAGAACCCGAGGAGTAGAGCTAGGGACCCACTTCTTGGTTCTCAACCAAACCAAGCCTCTGCTGGACCAAGCAAGAGTGAAAACTGGAGCTCTCGAATCAGAGAAAAGGTTAACACTCTTCACTTTTTCTCAGTTTTCTTATTAGTAATTTACATATCAGATCAGACTTGTGAATCTTTTGCCGATTAAAAAAAAACGGTTTCTTTGGCAGTATGGACTGAACCAGAGTCAGGCAGTGAACCCCAAAGGCTGATGAAGTCAAATAAACATGATTCTGAAACTGCATCATATGGTCCCTGTGAAGCTTATCTACGTTTTGTTCTCTGAACATTCTCTGAGTGTGCATGTAAATTTAACTCGAAACACTGTCGTATTGTGTGTTACACCAACCGCATAATCATATCTATCTGTGTGTTTGCCTGTAGAATCAATCCCCTCTAAACTATCATACCCGGTGGGAAGTTTTAACCAATCTTCTGTTGTTTTAGAATCCGTTTATCATAATAAGAATAATAATCAAAATGCAAAATGTAAATTAATATTTGAATTGGGCATCCGAAGAGGATGTAAATGTATAATACTAGTGGTTAAAACTATTTCATAACACTTGCATAAATAGTAAATTTTATGAATGCATATATACAATGTTTCATCGAGTAAGATCAAAGACTGCCTCCTCAACAAGCTCTTGCAACAACATTTCTTCAATTTCAATCCCCAAGTTGTTCACTTCCACTTGCAGATTATTACTCCACATTTTTCCAACCACCTCTTCCCTCACCAAACTTTCTCCTTCCAAGTTGTTAGAGTCCTGAACCATCCACTCCTTAAACTCTGTCCAAACATGTTCCACCATGTCGAATCCAGAGGCCAAGCCAGTGCGTGCAGCTGCTGATGTTGTCTCCGTTATGATGGCATTGACGCAGTCAAAAACAAGCTTGCGGTTTGATCGCTGGTTCCTGCGTTTGATGGGTTCCTTGTTGGCAAACTTGTCTCTTAATAATGGGTCCAAAGGGGTATCTGGTGAGTGCCATCGGGTCATAAGCGGATCACTGCCACTGAAACCAGATGCTTTTAAGAGCGTTTTGATGAAGTAGTACCAGTCTTCATCTTCCTTGATTCCATTTCCAGGTTTAGTTATGTCTGTGTATGACTCATCTTCCCATGAGAAAACACGAGCGATTGATCCTATTGGAGGTGATTTGTCGATCAGACTAGATTTCAGAGACATTTCTTCTCCTGTGAGAAGTGACAGTAGCAAAGTGTTACAAAATGACAAATCTCGTAGAAACTTTAACAGCAGACATAGAAAGAGAGAGAGAGAGAGAGCTAACCTTGAGTGGTCCATGGCTTGGTTGACACATAACATTCTGAAATTCCCACATGCTCCTCGTCAAAAGGCTGCTGTAAAACCGAAACTGGACTCGGCTGGTCCTGGTTTTCATTCAGTATAGTCACTTCTCCCTGCAAACAAACCAATGACTGATGATTAACAACAGGAATGGTTTCAAGGTATTCCTACACTCACAACCAGTTTCAGATTTGTGAATTACCTCGCTTGTAAATAAGCTTTGTCGTTGTAATGCACCAGTGGGCTTAGGCAGTTGAGACAGGGGATCAGGCTTCTGCTTGTTTGCTTTCTTATTCCTGAAGAAGAACAAGCTTGGAACTCTCCATGATGATTTTAAGCTTCTTGACTCGGTAAGCTCTCGGTGAGCTTGTGCTTTTGAAGTTCCAGAAACGGACGCTTCACCATTGAGTCTAATCTCAGGGACTAATTTTGACCTTTCAAGGGTATTCATAGGTTGATCTAGACCACTGCCTATGCATGAAACTGATCTTCTCGATTCTTGTTTAGCTTTGTTGCTCTCTCCACTGAATCTGGTTGGTACTTTTGTCTCCGAAAGAGCAAGCATGTCGCCTAAGGCCGTGGAGGCCTTTGTGAGGTCTTTTTGTTGCTCTTGTTGTGTGTCTCCGTTTAGGGACATCATTGCCCATCTTTCAGAAAGCCGTTTCTTAGCCTCTCTGTAGACAGATGACTCTGGAGAAAACGAGACTCGTCTGAATGAAGAGGAAGAGAAAGGAGTCTCAAACCTATTCCCACAGTCCCATGAATGCCTAGAGGATGGTGACATGATCTCAGAGCTTCCTGCGTTTAACGAACCATCATCACAGATATAGCCATTGGACAAGACAGAATAAGAAGAAGACGATGAAACAGTCTCGTTCCTGCAGTGCCCTCTGAAAGTTTCACGTATTTGGCGTGTAATTTCCTTAGCCACTTGTCTAGTCTCAGCATCTGCAGCCTCATCAAAAAAGGATGAAGAAGCAATAGCCTTAATATCTAGAGCCTTCCCTGGGCTAGGCTTCAGGACCACTATTCGAGTTGGCTGAGCAGCATCGATCTTGCTATCTGGAACCACACACTTCTGAGCCTTTGAAGGTCTCAGTACTGTAATTCGCTTATTAGCCTCTGGATGAATAGATACAGGGTGAAAGTCGGGGAGATCATGAGAAAAGAAGGAATTAGATTCCTGGAGAAGCTCAACGAACAAATCTTTGTTAGAACTCAAAACATGGAGAGCTTCTTGGAACTCCTTGGACTTGTGAAGCTTATCATCTGATACAATGCGTTTGGCTTCCATGAACTTTCTACGAACAAGATCCAGCTTTTTACTATCACTCATACTTGCATCATCATCACACTGCCCTTTCCTTGAAAGATGAGGCAGTGATACCCACCTTTCATACCCATGTTCGAGTTCTCTATGATTTTCCAACGAGGAGCTTCTGGATCTGCTGCTACGTGGTGCAGCTGTGGTGTCTAGACCCATTAGTTTAGCAACAAGGTTAGTAGAAGAAGCGTGTCTATCTTCAACCTCTTTGGACATTTCTCCAGCTTATAGATAAAGTTGTCCCTTAAGTCAAAAATAACCTCTGCAGAAGAAACAAAAAAAAAATCAAAACTAAAGCAATTTAGCTTCACTATGCAAAATTATAGGCCTCTCTGGATCTATGGGAAGCATTGGAACAGCTTTTACATCAATTTCATTTTCCACCAATTGAAACCAGCAAGAAAGCAAATCGATAAACAAGGAAATAAATTAATTAAAAATAGACCATATCAGAAACGGGAAGAGAAGCTAATCTGCACATAAAGAGAGTATGTTCTGTTCCGTGTAAGAGCTTCGTAATGAGGTCAAAAGAGATACAAGAAAGCATAAGAAAATGAGATCGGAGCTTTAAGGTCAGACATTGTGTCAGCGAGAGAGAGTGAGAATGTGAGAGAGAGAGACAAGGACCTGTTAGAAGGTAGCTTGAGTTAGAAACATCTCTCCAAGTCTCAGCTTCGACGGAGAGTTAGGTTCGCCGGAGAATCTTCTGAATCTAACAGTCAGAGGAAAGACAGCAGCTATTTTGGAGACACAAAAAGGGCTTTTTAGTTGTAAGGAAAGCTGCAAAATGACCTTTCCATGGCTCAAGCCACTTTTATAAATATATATTTTTTGTTTTACTCCTTTTTAATGATCTAACATAATATAACTGAAGTTTTTAATGTTTTTAAAGTTATTACGCACGTATGATATATATAACATTTAATAATGTATTGTTTTGTGTATATTTCTATGTTAGTTGGCATCGATTCATCATGGTTTGTCTCAACCTATAATGGAATTTGAAATTGGATGCATCACTAATATATTGATATGACTGATATTTTTTATTAAAAAACTTTGTTCATTAAATTGACCACAACTGAATATCTATGTCTAGACGGTAGAACTTCTATAAATTATTATTTGATAAATTAATAATTTTTATAAATTGATATATTTATCAGTTTTAATTTGAGTTAATGTAAAATATAATACAAATTAATAAAATAATAGGATAATACTTTTTATAAAATTCTATGTAAATATATGGTCTTATTAAAATTATAAATTAATAATTTATAGAAAATTTCTTTAGGATAGATCTAAAATTTTTTTATCATAAATATAAAATTTAAAAATAAAAATAATAAAAATAGATTTAAATGTTTTAGTAAAATAAGTAAATATATATTTATATCCTTCGAGATTAACCAATATTAGATTTTTTTTGTTTAAAATTGAGGAATAGAGTTTTGGGATATGATTTCACTTTTTTTTTTTAAACAAAAACTTAAAATTTTCAAAATAGACATCTAAATAATTTTTTTATAAGTTAATATATCTATATAATTAATAAAATTCCAAACTTTCAACATTACTAATTTGTAGTGGTTCTATTGTGTCTTCCATTAAATTATGTTCCGGACTACTTTTTTAAGTTAAATAATTTTGATAATTAGACGTTAATGTTTTTGCACATTTTACCATTTAAAAAATCTACCTTATGTCTAGTTTTCCTTTATATTTATGACTCGTAACATCATCGATTTCTAGTATTTCGTTTCTTAACAAAAATTGTGAAAATTTGTATAAAATTTGTTCTAAGATTGCTAATATTGTCAGTTTACTCATTAACTCGTAATAAAATAATACTTGATCCCATTTATTAGAAACCATAATTCATGTCTGTGTAGTCATGAGACTAAATGAAATGAGCTATACTTAAAAATCTTATACAATAAAGTTAGATTTTTTTTCATAGGAGGCAAAAATGTTATGTATCACCTCATTAAAGTTTAAGAAATTAGTTTTTTGGTTTTAGAAAAAAGTTATATTATTTTAGAAAAAAATATATTATTTGTAAAATGCATATTTATTTTGGGTTTTTATTGTTGTAGATTTCGTTTAAAATTTTGGATTATAGAGATCTTTTAATAATATAGGTTTGTTCGTCATCTTCGTTTGAGATCCCTAAATCAGCCGACGAGATTTGCAGATATTAAAATAAATTATTAACTCTCCATAACGTCTCGACGCACGCTTGAGTCACACCTTTTTTCCTCCTATATTATAAGTGATTAACCCACGCTGTTTCATTGGAAACCCACTTTATCGCATCCCGAAAATAACCATGTAGATGTGGGAGTATATATATGCCTTTTGCAGATATGAACATCACAGCTTCGACGAGCATTAGAAGAAAAGTTTGTTCAACTTTCTGATTGCTACAATGGTTATTTATTTCAGTCTCCTTGCCGATTTTGAAAGTTGGGTGCTGCTCCAACACCACCGAGGTTCACTTGCTGAAGTTTTGGGAGGCCAAAAATGTGAGGAAAGACGGTGAGTTCATGAGTCTAAACATGCTCCTCATTGACACATGCTCCTCATCGACGAGAATGTAACCATCTCCTTTCCAATTAATACTATTGACGAATGGTTCCGTTATGATTGTAAAAAAAAAAATTTGTCCTTTCTAACAGTCGATGGTTATTCAAGGTTCTGTTAATACGAGCCGTCAATTCATGTTCAGACAACGTCTCAGCAAAGGGTCAGTCTACAGGTTGAGCGGGTTTGATGTAACGTTCAGCAACCCCAATTTCCGGATGTTGGATACCACTTTCTCCATTTGGTTCAATAATGGAACCTTTTTGGTTAAAAAATATAACATTTATTAGGCCCATACTTACTGAACTTTTCAGATTCCTAACCTGGTCTGAAGTATAAATATGATATTACCGGAATCTTAAGTTATATTTATAAGTATTATGCATTATGTGTTCATTACTAACTTTAAATTTGGAGAAATTAGCAGCTAACGAACATATTGAGATTAAACTTAATACCTAATTGTTAACAAAAAAAAAATGAAAACCTATAGTAAAAAACAACACACAATTAAAATGAAGACTTCACTAACAATTAGTGAAAAACATAAAATAATATATAACAGATAAAACAATAATAAACAAGAGATAAATTTTCTTTCTTATGATAACAAGAAATCAAAGATTATTGTATATCTAAATAAATGTTATAAAAGAGAAATCGTATGTTATGAATTCCCTAAAATCTTCAGGCATAAACTTAATATGGACATGAAAATTAAAAACAGACTATTTGTAAAACAAAAATAAACACTATATAAAATAAAATAAAAATAATCTTAGAAATCAAACAATATAATCTAAAATAAGACAAATGCACCAAAAAATATATAGTTCCACAATAAAAAAAAATCTTAGTCTCACTAAAGTATATCAATAATTTTATTATAAAATTAAGTTTATGCAATAAGAGTAAGACCGGATATCAAAACATTAAACAATTTTAATAGAAACTGATACAAATAGTAATTAAATAAAATAATTCATAAATAATGATAATAAAATATTTCAAAATAAAAACAAGTGTTAAACAAAATATCTAATAGAAAACAAACTCATACAAATCATGGGTCAACTATCAGAGAAAAAATTATTTATTTATAGAAAAAAATATAAATAACTAGAAATCTAAAAATAAGTGTATAAAATAGGGAAAATAAATGATTTATGTATTGGGTTTAAATAGTTTATGAATATTTTCCTTATTTTTATAAGAAAAACATAACAAAAAATAAATACATTAATTAAAAAATTTACAAGCATGTTATTTGTTACCAATATTGAAAATTAATTACTTTCAGTCACCAATAACTTTGTTAAATATGATTAATTTAAAATACAATTATTGTGATTTTTAATTTTCTCACCCGCCCGTAGGACAGGCTTAACCCTAATTTAATATAAATCTACTAAAACGTTAAATCGAATCATTTGATACATTTTATTACAACCAAAACAAAACTCGCGCTTTTAAAACGCGGATCAAAATCTAGTTAGTTAATTATTTTCTAGTTACCAACATAAAATTTCGTTCATTAACATTTACATCTATCATTGTATAAGCGGGATTAACTATTTTCTTAGCAACTATAATGATGCAAAACTCAATGAAAAGATCATACTAAAACATTAAATAGAATCATTTGATACATTTTATTACAACCAAAACAAAACTCGCGCTTCTAAAACGCAGATCAAAATCTAGTTAGTTAATTATTTTCTAGTTACCAACATAAAATTTCGTTCATTAACATTTACATCTATCATTGTATAAGCGTGATTAACTATTTTCTTAGCAACTATATTGAATAAGCTCATATATAAAAATGCATATTATCAAACATTATTTTTTTTTTACCTATCTAAATTTCACCGGTTGAATTCAGTTTAAAATACAAAATACTTAAAATTAGTTGGCAAAAATAGCTCTCTGTAAAAAAAAAAAGAACATTTCACATGTTTTGACTAAATTATTACTGGTACAAAACACCTTGGGTTTGTGTTTTAGAAAAGATAACCAAAAAGTTCAAAAACAATTCCCACATTAATTTAGGAGACATTACTAAATTTATACTATTTTTATTGAAATATTAAACTTCTTGTGATATTTTAACCGAAAACAATCTTTTACTGGTAGTTTTGTAAAGCATGATGGAAAATGGTAATTTAAAATATTTCCATTAATATTATTCGTCGCTATATTCCATTTGTATAAATAATATATGTAGATGGTTCTAACCGAACTATATTATTTTTAATCGATATAAATTATACAAAGCGCTCATTTTACATATTATTAATTTCAAATAATCCGTTGATAAATCACTTACTCAAGATGCTTCTTATTTTGTCAAATAAAATTATTTTGGCCTAGTGATTTTTAAAAACATCATGCTTTATATAAAGTGTACCAAGGATCTTCAAAATACAATTACATATTAGATATTACCAAAATACTTAAAATTAAAGAAATACTATTAGATCTTAAGTTTCATATGTATTCTTATATTTAGTAAGTAAGACAAAAAAAACTAACAATATTTCCTCTCTCGTAATATAAGTAAATTCAGAAGAACATTTACAGTAAATGAAATATTGCAGTTGCTAATAATTAAATGATCCAACAATCGGTAAAATAAAAAGCATGTTATATGTCTGTATCATATATATGCAAGCAAAGAGGAAAGAATAATCATAACGTTGATTTTTCAAAAAAAAAAAAATCAGAATCTTTTCACAAAAAAGAATAATCATAATCTATTCTAATATGTATTTCAAAGACCCACTGAGACCAGAAGTATCTTTAAATGTATCAACTAACTTATTCTCTTAATGTCTTTTTCCTTGTCCAAATGTTAAAAGGAAAACGAAATCACATAAAAATGTAATCTTTTCATAACTAGGTTTTAATTTTATTGGCCTATCTTGGGCATTTCTATGACCAAAGATGAAAAATCCCCTTCAAATCTTCAATAGGATAGGACACAGTTTCACCAAAAAACCTAGCCGTCAAAAGAGAAAAGAAAGAGAGATTTTTTAGTTTCAAACCGATGGCCGGAGGCTTCTATAGCTCTAACATTGGTTTGTTTAATTCTTCTTATTTATACTTTTTTGATTTTTTTTTATGGTCTTCTAGTTTGTTTGATTGTCAATTTATTTTGAATCTGGAAAAATTTTAGATTGTTCTTTTGTATGGTTTTTCCAATGGATTTGGAATGGAAAAAACTTCGGTTCAATTGAATCTTTTAGAAAAGGTAATTGACAAATTTACTCCGGATGGTGGCGACGAGTCTTACCGGCTTCAATCGTTGATGGTTCTTCACTTGATGGTGATGAATTTTTTGCTGAAAACTATGGTTACTTCGAAAGATAGCATGAAATTCTATGGAACGGTAGTTGTCTTCTCTCGTTGGCTCCTACTGGAATAATAAAAAGAGAGTAGCAATCGTTTCAACTAAGTCTGAAGCGTGGTGTTTCTGGATTAATATGAAGATTATCTTCTCTGAGATTCAACTATTTCAGAAGCAAATATAGAGTTTTCACATGAAAATTTTTAGTCATCCATACACTAATAGATGTGTTAGTTTACTTTGGATCCCTACTGGTGTAATCCCTTTTCTGTATTGTTTTTGCCATTTCTATATTGTTTTTTTCAATTTTCATTATGTAAAACTAATTGGTTAAATGACTCAATAATACAATTCAGCGTTAAAAAAAAAAAAAAAAAATCTTCAATAGGCTTGTTGATCACGTGAACACATTTTCACGGGTTAATACTCCAAGTTAGATAGATATTCATGTCATTAACCGGCTCTCATAACCAAACCATCAAACTTTCAACCTTTCAAACGGTTCTTAGAATTTCGGTTACATTGCAATAACTACGAACTAACTTTTGACTCATTTTTGTGTCCGCTGGTCTGGTCAAACTAAACATTAGCTTAGCTTTGTATGTGTTGTTGTTTTCTTTATTTGCCATGGTTATGGTGTTCGTAATTATAAAATTATGAGCATGTAGTTATACGTATAAATTAACTAACTGATCGGGGTCAGAAAGATGTCAGAAAACATAAGGTGTGAGATTGTGAGACTTACTTCGCATCTTCACACGAAGTTCGGCCAAGAAACTATCTGTGTTTTCCTGTACTTACAGTTTATATATACATTTTTAAAAAAAAATTGTTCCTATTCTTCTTTGAGTTTGAACATTAAAGGTTGTTGTGACAAAACTATAAACAGTGAAGATGGCACTTTAAATGTCTTACAACATTTTGCAAAAGCAAGAAACGTTTCTTTAGTGATGTTAGTGTAAGAATATGAAGCTTCTTGTTGCTGAATATGCATTCTGTGATCATCTTAAAAGAAAAACATAAACAAGACTACTAATGTGTTAATCAAGTATGTTGTTTAATTAGTATATCGATTAGTCTATTCTAAAACTCAATTTCAAATGAACACAAAATTTGAACGTTGCAGGATTTTCAGCTACAAAACACACAAAACATCCATAAGTACAAATTTATTGGGGAGAGTAATGAGTAACGACGATTGATGGGAAATGAAGTAGCATCAAATTGAATGAGAATGAAGCAATCATCAAAGAACCAACAGTATATATATATATATATCTGCAATTACATACATACTACATTCCTTCTATTATTCATTTATTAATTCTAGCTTTCACAATCTGGTTAGTGATTTTAATTTAGGGAATGAGTTCCAACTACTTTGGTGGTTGAGAAGAGTCTAAGAGGCTCATTCATCAAAAAAACAAGGAAGTGTCAAAGAATGATGACCATTTACTAATGTCCCCATGAATAACTCTGGATTGAAGACGATCTTTAACCATCTCAACCATATACCAGTCTATGTCAGATCGATTTTATATCGATCATCATCGACTTCTCCTTCACTTAATTCATCATTGATGTAGTTAGGACAAGATCTAATATCATAGATTCTTATGTCTTCTGAATTTAAATGTGTCGTATACACAAATGCAGAAACAACCTAGCGCAAGAGTTACTGACCTGTGGCAACCAAACTCGTTCAGCAGCTGATTTAAGCTCATCATAATACTGACCTGTGGGATTTTACATCTTTGAATTAATCTAAGTTTGAGGTGACTGACACATAAAGGGTATCCAATTATGAGCCTTAAAAGATCGTTTTGTGTTGAATTTGATGAGAGTTTTACGCAACCGACGAGATGTCTGGAAATTCTTGTTTTCAGCAACCACACCTTTTGTCATCAATGATATGCCTCTCCAGTTCATAGGACCTAATATCCAGTTGTGGTCCAGTTCTTAAAGGTAAACTGCACGAATATATTAATCAACAACTATGCATTGGATGATATGGAAGAGGTCAAAGGAGATACTTAAGCTATGTTCTTCTGTTTGTAATCTTGAGCCAAACCGTATGTACCAAAACGTTTACCAACCATTCATCTTTTTTTTTTAATCTTCCCCAAACGATTTAATGCACTCAAACCATGTGCATTACCCGATCAAAAATTGATTGCAAATTCCACATAGCTAGTGTCTCGACCAAACTCCCGGTTTAGTAACAGAAACCAATTCGCCTCTTTATTTATTTTACTGTCCATGGAAAGACTCACGATAGGGTCTTATGAAATCTCTATGCAGACAGTAACGTTAAAGCACATCAACTTCAAGAATTTTACTGCAGAGGTTCTGATTAAACAAAAAGGAAACATAGACAGATCTCCAACTAGTTTCATCACTAGGTCTGACCGGTTTTGGCATTGGCCTCAGCTAGCATTGGCTCCAGCTCTCCTTTATTGTACAGCTGCAACGTATCTGTGCAACAATAAACGTATAGAGATCAAGCTATCAGAACGAAAAAACACAAGCTATCAAAAGCAAGATCTTGAGAGAGTGTACCTGAGCAGCCACCAATGTGCTTCCCACCTGGGTCATGAAATATAAAAATTAGATTCGTTAAAGTGATGGACAACGCAAATGCAATGACTAAGATCTCAAATAGCAGGTTCGTAAGTAACGGTCGCCAAATGATGAAACAACAACTAACCAATGAAAACATTAGGAACAGTGTATTGTCCAGTGAGTTTCTCCAAGACATTCTGCAGCTGCGACCCCTCTGCACCTGAAAAAAATGTCGGAAAACACCAAAACAGCAACTCAAAATGTTACAGACCAATACCCTGAGGCTGAAAATGGTGTGGACATATAACTAAGTAAGAACAGAAGTTTCTGTGACATATTATAAGATTACTAAGAAAATGGCAACGGATAATAGTTAGCTTAGTCTAAGATCCAAAGGCAGGCAAGGAAGATTCTTAACTTGTGATGATTTTTCATCAACAAGCTAATCAATATATATATATATATATAGTCCAATTAATTTCCTAACGAAACAAATCACAGAGAGTCCAAAGGGTAGAAGCTATCTGCGGACCCAATTCTAAGCATTAATCTTAAAGTTGTGAACTAAGTTTCTCCTCTACATGAGAGAGAAAAAAAATCAATTGTAAGACTGAACAAGAATAGTATCTAACTTGAACACAAGTATTAAGTAGATCCAGTCAGTGTTTAATGATTGATAAAACAATAAACACTTGTAACAACATTTGATCAAAGATAATATCCACAGACACGCAAAATCTCAAAACCAAATCAGTAACTAATGAACCAGAACCATACATATATATATAGAATAAAGAGGTGTAAGTAAAAGAAGGATACCAAGTTCATCCAATTCAATAACGAGTGGCTTAACTTGAAGCCCATTGAACAACGACTTCACTTCCGACGAGTATCTTCACCATAAATTAAAACGAAATCGTTAAATCACCGATCAATTGCGACAAAATTTCAATCTTCAATTGAACAAAGTAAACACAGAAAAGTGAACCTACGAGCACCAGGATTTGGAGTAGACAACGACAGGGTTCTCTGCTACAGTATTTTTAACGGTCTCCTCCAAGGAAGATGGAGAAGACGAAGACGACGATGAGGATGACATGGCCCTCCTAACAGAAGAAGAAGCGTGGTGTGGTGGTGGCCACGACGACACGAGTCGGAGAGGCGTGGGCTTTAGACATGTCCTTAATACGAGAGAGCTTCTGATTCCGCTTAGCATTGACAAAGAGAATGGCCGATTCAAAAACAGTGACGTCGACGATCTCAGGCTCGCGAGGTTTGCTGACGCGGCGGCGGTTACCATGGCTGCGATGACTCCTTCTCTCTCTCTCTCCTCTTTCTTTCTATCTAACCAAATTATTCCTATTTTTCTCTTTTCTTAATAATTTCCAAAAGTAATTAAAAAGAAATTAAAATATGTCTGAGCCCGGGTTCGAACCGGGGACCTCTAGTGTGTGAGACTAGCGTGATAACCGACTACACCACCCAGACTTTTGATATTTCTTTATTGCCTTCTTAGTTTAATTGTTTGTGAATAATTTAGGACCTTTTTGCGTTTTAAAGCGTATGACAATGTTTTCACATACACACAACATCAAGAGCAAAGAAAAGAACTCGGACTATCAGTCCTTTGATGATGAGACATTCTTAAGACAGTAACAAGTTTATTCAAACACCTGAAAATAGGTTTATTTGTGTCTGTAAAATCCAATTTATCAAAAGTACACAAAAGCAAAACACGTGCTTCCCCACGTCTCGCATATCAGTTTTCATCTCAAGATGATGTATCTTTAATCGTTTGGCTCACGAATCTGGATGGATGTTTTGGATAAGCTTGCTTCCAGTTCATCAAGCTCATCCATGTCCAAATCATCATCATCATCATCGTCGTCGTCTTCTTCATCCACTTCTTTTGAACTCTGTTCCGCAGCAGCATCACCACCACTCTTGCTTGTCCCTGCCTCTGTTTCTTTGTTCTTTGCCTAAGAGAAGCAAACATTTAAGATGATTTGGTTGGTTTAAATAATGAATGTGTGTGAATGAGAGAGAGTTCACCTTCTGTTCAATCTCTTCCTCTGCTTTTTCCCTCTCGTATTCTTCAAAAGCTTCAGCATCGTCCACAAACAAGCTTGCATTCGACAAGAACAGCTCCCGACCACTGACATTACATATGAACAAAACAATGAGTCAGTCACATTGGAAGACAGATAAGCAACAACGGTGATGAATGGTGGATTTACCTCATACGGTCGTTCTTAGCTCTCTCGGCTTGAGAAGCAGCCAAACCTGCATCTCGCTCAGCTATCTTCTTCCTCTTCCACTCCATAAATAGCGCAGGAGTCATCTGTGTTGCCGTTTTCAGTTTTGCACGCTGTAACATCCAACCAAAAGAAAACATTTTTCCAAAGAATCAAGTTCAGGGTCTTAGCAGTTATGAGAGAAAGAAAAGCTGGAAAAAAAGAATATCAAACCTCGTTTTCGATTTCTTCTTCAACTGGCATCTTTTGTGACTCCTCTTCCAAGAGAGCCTTCATTTGAGACTTGAGGATATAACCAGGGGGAAGAGCGTGTCTGTAATGACACTCTTTGCCACCATTGGGACAAGCCCAGAACCACCCATACTGTTTCTTTTCCACCGCGTCCAGAAAATACTTGCAAACCTATATTTTTATATAGGTTAACACAAAACTTATTATATATAAACTCATGCAAAATCCATCATGTGTTTAGGATTGGACATGTTTTTACAAATAGTTACTTCTCTTAGTTTAAAATTAGCTAACTATATTTGTTAAGAAACAGTGACATAATGGTAAAAAATTGTCGTTTAAACACTACCATCACCAGAAGCATGAGTTCTTGTCACGCATGATCCAGATGAGGACAAAGCAAAAATAAGCCCCGTGTAGGACTCATCAAATAGCGCCTAAGATGAACCACGCTATTAGCTAGAGACAACATATTACAAGGTGAACATAAACCCCCTCCCCCATATCAGCTAAAATTTGATCACAATAGAAAAAGCAAACGCAATCGACACACATCACTTGTGCTATTTTGTACATACTAACGACTGAATATTTGTACAACATTTCATTATTTTTCACAGTGCACTAACAAGATAAACTATGCTTATAATGCCAGATGGCCTTAATCAACATGTCCCAACAAGCACCCAAAAACCAAGCTTTAGATACAAGGAACCCCACTTACAATATCAGTTGGCTTGTTCTGGTTATATTCATTTTTCTTTGATTCCACAACCTTTTCAAGGGTCTCTTGATCCCATTCCTCCATATCTCCATCTTAAAACAAATAATAAAATATAAAACATAAGACGTGATGGACTAAAAGGAATGTAAAACATAAGGGAATAACACTTGTGCTATATATATTACCTTCATCACGCTTATCGCTGTAGATATCGATCTTCTCACCCTTCCTCTGAATGTTCAAATCATGAGAGAATTTGCACTTGAAACCCTTTTGACACTGCCCTGCCTTGAAAAACTCACACAAGATGGACTTTGGATCCACACCTGCCCAAAACCATATTCTATAAATAAATACACATGGAAACACAACACAAGAGAAGAACGAACTTTTACATGACAGCAATTTTGTTAAATGAAAAAAAACAAACATTACCAACAGGAACCTTAGGCTGACTAATAGCAACCTTGAACAACTCATTCAATTCCTGTTCTCTCGCTTTCTCTTCCTCTTTCTTTTTCTGCTCTCCTCAAACAATAAAAAAAAAATTTCTTTGCGTAAGAATTTAACCAAAGAAAGAATAAAACTATCTCTCTCTAACTCCTACGTCCTAAGCATCAAGAAACTCGAAAACCCCATTTCAGCAGAATATATAAAACGGATTCAAGTTACCTTAGCTGCAACTTTAGAGGCATCGGGTTTAGGCTGAACAGATTGCTTGAGACTCTGGACATACTTCTGGACATTCTTGCTCTTGTTCTTGTTTTTCAGACCGAATGTTTTGTCTTCAACTTGCTTCTGTTTTTTCGCCAAATCGGCCTTTGGTTGTTGCTTTGGTGGCATCTTCCTTAATATCAAATCCAAAAAAAAAAACGACACAAACTTCTTCTTCGAGAAGGTTCTAAAGCTACTGTATCAAAATTAGGGTTTTTAGGATTCTGTGTGAAAAATAAAATTAAATGAAAACCCAAAAAAAATAAAAGACCACAGAATCTGAATCGAACCAAAAAGGCGGAGATTCAGAAACTTTCCCGTGAAGCAGAGACCCTAAATCACTTAGTTATTACCGATCGAGATAGGAAGCAAAAAGATGATGAGACATAGGAACATCATTTGCCTGGTAATAGCTAAATGTCTGTCTACTCCACAAACACTACGATGTTTGGGCCTTTTAAGGCTCACCTGGATATTAATGGGCCTATTATATTTCAGACTTATTAAGTTCATAACTTCTAACGATCTTCTTTGGCGCGTAAGTACTAAGTACGTTCATGGTTAACTAGAGTCAAACAATGAACAACATTCTTTTTTTTTATATCTATGCATTTTTCAATTAATTCAATAAATCAAAAGAGCACAATTACTATGAACACAGCTAAATGCATGTCAATTTACAGCAACAAGAATATCATTTATTTCTTTCTACTAAAAACATACTACTTTTTGTACAGACTATATCATGTGGATGGAGAGTGGAAACGACATCTTCCAAAGAAGTCCATTATCCTATGAAAATATGATTTTCAAGCAAGTAGTTTTGAAAAATATGCTACTATGTCATTGTGAATGCAACCAAAAGAGTTGCAGATAGTGCAGCTCTTTTCCTTCAACATTAAAACTTGTTTCCTTTCATTTATTTCCTTTCACAATAAAGCTCCATTGAGCTATTTTCCTTCTTCTTTTTGTACTTGTTTTCTTCTTCACTAAGTTCATTTGTGCATAAATCTATTCCATGTTTGAGAACAATAACTGTTTTTAAAAACTGAACTGGAATAAAATTTTATTTAATTAGAAAAACATGGAAAATAGATAACAAAAACTGCATAACACCATATGTCTTTTGTTTTCTCCCAGCAAAACAAGTAAGCAAGCTCTCTGGTAATAATTAGAGAGAGATATAATGAGAAACAAATAAACAAACTGGCGAATCTTAAAAAATATATGTATCCTTCTCTGAGAGATTCTTCCTCATGTTTTCTTGTTCTGGATGGTGTTCTTGAAGGGAGCAGTTTTTGGTTTCTATATATGACTTGCACTACTGCAAGAAAGCGAAAGATGTGTTCTCCACAAGTTTCTCAGCAGGTTTCACTTGGGAAAAGTCCTTATCTTGCATCGAGCTTGATAAGTCATCAATCAACAAGGACATACTGTTGCTGCAGGAGGCCAAAGAGGTCATCATGACTTTGATATTCATAGCAGCAAAAGAGATTCAAAGTTTCTTCTTACTATATTACAGTAAGAAGATAGATACTTACCTAGAATCATCTTTTAACAAGAAGTCATTGATGTCTGTCATAACTTCTGTCATAACTTTTCTCATGCTTTCGATCACCTGTTTGATGGGTCATCGGAGAATCAAAACTACTAGAGCAAAGAATTTAAAAAAAAAATTAGAGCAGTGTTCTCTCTGATAGCTTACTTCTTGCTCTACACTTTCTGTGTTGTAAATTTCATCCTTGTACAGAGTACATAGTCTGAAATGCTGCTGTATTCTAAGGACCTGAGTGACGAAAGAAATGGTGTCAGCATAACTACAAACTCAAAGTTCAACAAACGAGTTGGTTGATAGAGAGACTTACTGGACAGAGATCATTTTCAATATCTTCATATGAGATTCTCTTTTTGTTATGGATGAGCTGTTGATGTGAGAAAATGTAAACTCTTACTTAGATTCAAGTTAAGTTAAAAGTTGATTTGCTTAGAGGATGTTTCTCAAATTCAAAACAAGTTAAGAAAATACCAAGAATCCAACAGCTTGTCTGATAGGTTTTAGTTCATCCCAGGATGAGCCAGCATACTATCAAAGACAAGTCGCATAGGTGAAATACTGTGTTTATGTATAAACCAGTTGACGAAAACAAAAGAAAACTGTGATTTCGGGAATACCTCTTTATTTGTTTCCGAGCACCATCTCTCTAACTTATCCAAACCAGATTTAACATATTCTCCATTGATAAATGAACAGTTATCTCGTCGGGTGACAAGGCTGCACATCAGAAATAAGAGGTCGGTCAAAGTCTGCTTATAATAATGATTCATATTCCAAAAAAAACAAATAAACAATCTCTCACCTGTTAAATAGTTGGACATTGATGAGTGAGAAAGCATGAGAGAATATAGTCTGGATAAGAACCGGAGG